ATTTGTTTATGGCCAGATGCCATAATGATTGTATACTATTTATTGTTATTTATCACTAGTGTTTCTATGCTGCTGTGCTTCAAAACAGAGAGAAGTCAAGATTAAAGACAGCAAAGAAATCACAATATAAATTACAATAGCACTAACCAGCTGATGTAGATCATAAAAGAAAATCTGACATCCTCCAAATGTAATTTCAGAGCCAGATTTTTACCATTTTTCAGAAGCTTGATCAAAAAGAGGGTTTTTAAAAAAATATTTGTATTCAAGCTGTTCCACAGGAGGAAGGCTGCCAAGGCTTCACATAAATAAAAGCAAAACAAGAAGAAAATAAAAACATCAACATTTAAAAATCAAAACCAAGCAGATATGAAATAGAACTGCTAACATAACCAATGTAGAAAATTAAATCCACTTTATTTATTGAACAAATTTGTATCCCATCTTTTTATTCAATTTGGATGCTCAGTGGAATTTTCCCCCCTTGAAACTCAGTTCAGGAGTAAAACGTTTCAGCTTATAAACTGCTGGAAAAGTTATATAGTTCTTTGATGGTAACCTAGACAATTAAAAATAAATTAGAGCCAAATCTTTCCTTTTGAGTGAGAACACATTTTTTTTCCCCTGAGGACAGAAAAGCAGAGGAACTCTGGTGTGACTTTATCCTTCCGTTAATTCTTAAAATGCTTTCCCACGAATATGGCCACCCTCAAATGGAGAGAATGTTACTTTTTCATGGTCTGTACAGAATTTGTATATGCCTGTGCCTTTGCCATATGGTAAGACCATTCATATTTACAGCAGTAGAATTGTAACCAGGGGGAAAGCATTTGCCATGGGGCTTAGCCTTGTAGCCTACAGTATTCTTTTAGCAAGAGAGTATGTCTTCCAGCCTTAAATAGGCTTGCCAGGAAATGTATTACTGAAGCCAGAATGTTTTACAAGCACACTGTGGGTTGAGCTAATTGTTCCATTCATTGGGCTTCTAATAAAAATATGCTTGCAGGTGTTTAGGGACACAGTATGGACTCTGTCTTCGAACATTCCATTGGGACCATAGTGGTAGTATTTTTGTTTTATTTACTGTTAGAGGTAATTAAAAAATGTGTAGGGAACAAATAGAATAAATTAAGAACACATGGAAGTGAGTAAAGTAGGTACATAGCTCTAAAGTATAATAATGAAATTCTAATAAGTCATAAGATATTAACTGCCAGGCATCGAAAAACCAGGTTTACATGTAAGGTACCAGTTAAATTGATTTATTGCTAAACAGTCTACCCATAAGAATCTCTTTCAACTAATGGTTAGCACCTGCTAGAAGTTCAGATAAAGGTCAATACAATTCAAGGAGTGGTTGGGACTTAGTTTGCTTGTGACTACATAGGGATCTAGGCTGATCCCTCTTTTAACTCTATCCCCAGGGGGCCACTCCTTCTCTACATTAGCTGATTTCAGAAGACAACCATTTTGGTTCTGAAATGAGGGTGGTCCAGTCTGGCATGAGTTTAAGTCTTAGAAGTTTTCTTTTTCTTTTTCCTTTTTATTATGTTGTTGTAAGCCTGGATACATTTTGTTGTTTCAGTACAGCACAGTTTATACAATATTAATTGAAGATTATTAACATTATATTTAGATATCTTTGAGTATTGAAAATTAAGATGGAAATACCCTTTTTCTTTCACTATTAATTATAATACAACGATAGTACATGGATAAAATTATGTGAATTTTTCATACAAAGTTGAGTATTACATTGGCAAAATACCTGTTGCAAATTGCATTAGAAAGTTTGTTATATGATAAAGGTTTTGATCTTAAGATAATTAGTATTAAAATTATATTACTTTATATAAGTACATACATTAAATACATACTTTTTGTATACACATGCATACAAACTCATTAATAAAAAATAAAAGCAAATTTAACAAAAAATATCAGAGTGGAAAGAAAAGAGAAAAAAAAGGAAAAAGGGATTTTTTTCTTAAAAAAAAGAACTATTGGATTTCTAACTTTCCTCTTTTTATACATCTGCCAACTGTCAATATTTTATAGGCATTTAGGCTCCCTTAGAAGCCACACTCTAGGTGATTATATTTCCATCCACGTGATGTGTTCTATATAATGTATAAAACCTTTTTAGGCATTTCTGTCAAAAGATGCTATGTTGTTTCTAAGTAGGTTTATAATTACTTTGCCACAACAGTTTAAACATTTTTCTGAGAAGAACTGGTTATTTTTATTTAGTTATGCACACAAGGTTTTATGTGATAGCTGTTTCTTGGATCTCAAGATGATTTCCAGTTGTCGCAAAATAATAGAAAGTCCAAGAAAAAAGATGCGTGTGGCCCTCCTGAGCTCTGTTTTCACTGGCAGAGGGCTGCAGGAGGCCATCGTGGCCAAAAACGGAGCCTCGATGAGTGAGTCGATGAGTTATGACACTCACCCTGGTCATGTCCCCCCCGCCCGGGCCCCCAAGGTGAAACAACCCTGATGCGGCCCTCAATGAAATCAAGTTTGACACCCTGTTCTATAGGAAGTGATAAGGACAGCAGGAGGAAGATGTATTTTTCTCATGCGATACAGAAAGTGCAGGTGCTGCTGTGCCCGCTTCGCTAGTGTCTCGCTCTTGAACGACCAAGCCAGCCTACTTGCTAGCTGCATACAAGGAGGCCTGGAACCGGAATACCGATTGAAGCTGGAATCACATTCCCTCTTGCCATGATCTCCTTCTACTGTTCTAGTAGGAATCATGAGTTCAAGAGGATCCCCAAGCCATGAACCCAGTGCTTTTGTGGCAGGGTGAGTCTATCCAGAGCCAAAATTGGATACTGGTAGGGTATAACTCCAGCCTATAGAAGGCAGAGTTCATGCCACAGAGAGCTTTGTCTAAATCCCGAGTCTTCTCAAAAGAATCTCAGATGGTCTCATAAGAGATTGTCCGAGTTAATCTTACTAGACTTTGCCCAACTGGTATCCATCTCTGAATGAACGAGAACAATTCTATTATAACATAGTGTTCTGCAATTCTTACCCAAGAGGCAGAGTAACCTTAGATAGAGTCTTTAAATACAAATCTCAACATGCAGAAAACATAGTGAAGTTCACATGTTTCACTGCTCTTACCACCATGAAACACTGCCAAATATACCATGCAACCATATGCATTCACATTGTTTTTCTTCATTATTGTTCCAAGCATCTCTTCATTGGCTTCGTTTCCTGCAGCTTCTCAATAATCAAAGAACCTGTTTGATTCTGCACAGGGCAGTTAAATGAAGCGATATAAAAATCAATAAAATGTCATAGACAATTTTTCTCTAGGGATTCCTTTAGATTTCCATGGTGGATTATGTGTTTTTCTCCCTACTTGCCTGTACCAAAATAATATTTACATTGGTTAGAAAATCTTTGAAGGGAAGAAAGAAGGAGAGCATGAAATCATGAGATCTTTGTTCTATGAACCTTCTGCAGTCTGATACTGTGATGCTTGATATAATTTATCAAATCACTCTTCCGGATAAGATGCACTTGGAAGTTTAGAGATGGTTATATTGTAGCAATGTTTCGGCAGAATCTCATCTGCCATCATGAGGCTTTTGTATTGTGTCCATCTGCGGAAGCCTGACGATGGCAGATGAGATTCTGCCGAAACGTTGCTACAACTTTAAAAGCACAACTACAATGACGTGGGAAAATACCCGAACAAAGCTGAATGCCATATATATGTATGTGGATCTTTGGTTGTTCGGGTTTTCTCCCGCGTAAGATTCGAAGTATCTAGGCAACGTTTCAATGAAGTCTCATTCATCATCTTCAGGCTTCTGTCTTCAGCTCTGTGCTTCTCAGAGTGATGTGAGATTGCAGCTGCTTCTTCCTTTTAACTGCTAGTGGGGGTGTGACTTGATTGGGTGGGGGCTTGGCTGTGTTCTGATTGGGTGGGGGTGTGTTCTCATTGGTAGGGGGTTTGGCTGTGTTCTGATTGGTTGTGGGGTTGGTCGTGTTCTGATTGGCTGGAGGCGTGTTCTGTTCAGGTGGGGGCTTGGTTGTGCTCAGGTTAGTCTTAGTTGCTGGGGGATTTGAGTTGGTGAGCTGTGATCTTGCTGTTTGGCTTCGAGTTCGTGGTCGTGCTGCATCTTCATAGCGGGTGTCGGTTTGCTTCATGTATGGCTCGGAGGGGTTTGAAGTGGATAGTGATGCAGCTGCAGTGCGGCTTCTGGTCCGTGGTCATGTCTCATCTTCTGAGTGGGTGTGAGTCTGTTTTCTACATGGAAGTGTGGCGGTGGCATCTTGTGTGGCTCTCATGGGTGTGGGTCTGGTGTCATTCTTCATGTTAGGTACTCGTCTGTTCATGAGGGCGGGTTTCCAAATGGCTGGAAGGCGGGAGGTGTCATCTCGTTTGTTCATGCTGTGTGGGCGTTTTTCTATCTCTATGGCTTCTCTGATTATTCTGCTGTTGAAGTGTTCGGTTTTGGTGATGGTTCTGGTATTTTTAAAGTCAATCTCATGTCCTGTGGTTTTGAGGTGTTGGACCAGGGAAGAGGTTGTTTCTTCTTTTTTGATTGAGTTCTTATGTTCTTCAATGCGTGAAGATGATGAATGAGACTTCATCGAAACGTTGCCTAGATACTTCGAATCTTACGCGGGAGAAAACCCGAACAACCAAAGATCGATCGATCTATCTATCTATCTATCTATCTATATACACACACACATACACACACATACACATACACATACACACACACACACATACATACACACACACACACACAGAGAGAGAGAGAGAGAGAGAGAGAGAGAGAAGAGATTTAAATTGTAAAGTAGAATTAAGTAAGCAGGTTTAAGGTACAACCTGAAATACAAGATTTTTGTCTTAGAAAACTTTGAACTTTTTGGAAATGTGTTGGGTTGGTGGATTCTGCATTACTTGGAACTAGCTTCATCAAGTTCACTGTACTGAAATGTGGAGTAATTCTGAATTCTTGTCTTGGCAGGAGAATGTGTCGCTTGCTGATGTTCTTTCACTGCAAGATAGCTGTCTTACTGAGCAGGATATTTGGGCTATTTGCCTGGAGTGTAGTCAGTCTTTGAAGAGCATTATCCACTCTACAGTCTTTCAGACCCTTTGCATCACTCCTGACACTTTGGCTTTTAACACCAATGGCAATGTATGCTTCATGGAACAGATCAGTGGTAAGTATGCAGGCTGGTAGGCAATTTGTTGAAAAGTTAAAAAAAAATCCCACTGAGAGAATGTAGTGAAACATTATATTCTCTCTGTCAGATTTCTACATGGATTTTAATTAGAGTATGAACCATAATTTCTTAAGTGCAACAATGAATGTCAGCTCACATCAAACTAAATTAGGTTATATCTACTAAATGTATGTTCATTTAGGTGTTATAGTACTCAACTAAGATTACTAGATTAAATTTAATATGGTTCTAAATTTATTTCTTTGATCTAGTCTGTATTTTCCAGAGGATTTTATGCAATAAATGCTACCCCGCTTTTGTATGAATGGTTTTAAACATAAACAGAATCTGAGAGCCAAGAGAGGATATATAGATAGATTATACATTTAGTGTTCATTATATATTCTAACTGGAGAAAAGCTGACATTAATTAGCTCTAGTGGTAATATACATTATTTAATATATAAAAAAGCTAAAGCTAGCAAAAATAACTTTCCCCCTTTCTTTAGTGAACAGATTTTATGTGTGTTCCGTGAATTTATTTTATTTATTCATTTAAAACTTTTATATAGCTGCCTCCTCTTAAAACAACTCTGGGTGGCTTGGTATAAACGGTATAAAAATCAAGAGCGATAAAACTAAAAATAGAAAAGCCTGGCGAGACAGCCGCTGATGCACTCACATTCTCATTCTGTCCTGGGCTCCCCAGATTTTAAGGTCCAAATATTAAGTGATCTCTGGAAGGATAGAAGGATAGAGACCTGTCAATCACAGGGAAGAGAGAGTTCCGTAGGACAGGAGCTGCATAAAAAAGGGGATGCTTGAAAATTCCCATAAGATGGCAATATTTAAAGGAAGGAACCTGGAAGTTTTGTACTTTTTTTAAAAAAAATTGAGTGTGCGTGTATGTAAGGTGACATTAAATTAGCCAGAAAATGACGGTTCTAATGCAGAGTAGTAGTTGACTGCCTAACATTGCTAGCCATATTTGATTCATGTTCACGTGCATCCCAAAGTGCACCATAGGGGATGAACTAACTCTGCATCAGAAAGAAAGATGAGTGGCTTTTCTGGTGCATCATCTGGGGTCCTCTCCCTCCATCAAAGCCACTTCGCAAATGGGTGCGGCAACCAGAAAGGTCCAGCACCAGCAGGATTCTAACCATCCGCAAGAAGTGCCATCTCATCTCCCCACTGAAGTGTATCTATTTATCTACTTGCGTATGACATGCTTTCAAACTGCAGAAGCTGAGGCGAGTGATGGGAGCTTACCCTGGCACACAGTGCTAGGACTCGAACCGCTGGACCAATTAAGTCACCGAGCCAATGTGACTCCTAGGAGACCTGGAATATGGTCCCTCTGTCCGTTCTGGTGGGATGGATAGATATTGTCTGGGAGAAGCTGTCCTCCAGATAATCGGGTCCCACGCCATGTAGGGCTTTAAAGGTATTAATCAGGATCTTGAATTGCAACCAGAAGAAAACTGGGAGCCAGTGCAGCTCACACAACAGGGGTGTAATCTAATCTTTGTGCATTTATTACCAATTGGCTAAGATAGCATGGCTATATGACAAAATGTATTGTGGGAAATGAGAAATAAGCAAAAATAAAGTTAGTACGCTAATGAGAACTCACCATATTTGAAGCTATCTAACAAGGAACTATAATTTTTTCTCCCTGAAACTGTTGCCTACCCATGTATTATTTGTGATTTATGACATTTTGGAAACCTTGATTAACTCTGGTAAGTTGTATTGCAAGATGATAAGCCAAAGAATGAGTTGGAAGGTATGTTTGATATTTCTGCTGCTTTGGGAGATTTATAAGTTAAGTTGTAGCTTGGTGTATAACAGTGGATGGCAGTGTGGATGATATCCGTAGAAAGGGATAGTTTCAAGGTTCAAGGTTCTGTAAGCATATTGCCTTATGGCTCTGGAGTAATCTACCCTTCTTCCAATCTCAGTTTAGTTACTAAAGAAAGATTGTGAAGAGAACAAAACCAGCTCACCAGGAGCCATGGAATCTTCAGGAGCTTGTTTCTTCTGACAGAAGTAACACACCTGAAAAGGGGGTGACGCTCGTATCACAATGCCTGGTGCTACTTTCCTCATTTTGCCTCCTCCTTTGTCCCATCACAGATGCTATTTTGAGCACAAACGAGAACCTTCATCTGAATCTGCTTTTGTAGTGTCTCTTTTTTTAATGGTGGGGAGAATCAGATTGCAGTTAAGTCTTAAGAAGCAAAGTTTTAGGATGCTTGGGGACTTTTTTGAAGCATCAGCTTTTTTTGTAACTAGCTTCACTCCATCCTTATTCTTGGTTCTTTTCAGTGAAAGTTGTGAGTAAATCACCAGGATAAAAAATCCACATAATGTACGGGAAGATTGGTAAGTTAGTGTAGTTTGTAAGCCAGGAATTTTTAAAACCCGAGTATCATAACAATATAAGAAGATAATTTAAAATAAAAGTAAATGCTCTGTTTGTATTGGAAAAAACAGAATTCTGACAGATCAGATCTCTGGAAAATACAAAGGAATATTGTATCTACAAATCTAGGGAATATTTCCTTTTTTGTTCTGAACCATAAAGAGATATCCTCAAGAAATGTCTTTATTTAAGAGATTGGGAAACAGTAGGGAGGAAAAAAACCCAAGATAGATTTGGGAGTTTGCTGATCTTAAAATTGTTGAGGTGGTTTGAAATATTGAGATGCTTATTACTTAGCGGAAAAATTCAGAAAGAACACTATACCACAGTGGAACGTTGAAGGGCTATGACCTTAGCTCCAGAAAATAGGATCAAGAACATTGCTCTGATAAGAGGTTGGAGTAAATAGATCAAGGGGTAAAATTGGGGAGAAATAGCCCTGCCATGAAGGTTGTAGGTGGGTGCCCATGTTTCATGTTTACCTGAGTAGAAATAGAAATACTAAGGAAGAGATAATATAGGTCAGGAGTCCTGAACCCTTGCTCTGCAGCCTGGTAACAGGCTGTGACCCATTGGGAACCAGGCCACACAAATGACAGATGAACAGAATAACGCACAAAACTCCATTTGTGCAAGCGGCGTGCATGTGTGCCCTTCATTTGTGCAAATGGAGTTGTGCTCACACATCCACCACTTGGGCGGAAGCAGCCCCTCTCCCCGCAACCACCGACCAGTCTGCAGAGCCAGAAAAGTTGGGGACTGCTGATATAAGCAATTAGCAAGCAAGACCTCCCAGAAAATATTGAAAAGAGAGCAACAGGAGAAACAAATAGAGATGTCCTTAAGGTTTTGATAGAAGAGGATCTTGTAAATTCCCTAGGATTCAAAGAAAAATTGACATTAAAACAAAGTAAAAAGTGTTTCAATGGGCCCAGGTATGTAGGTATAATGTATTATTTTCCCCTTAAATATTTCCATTATATTCTTTGGAAGATATTAAATTGCTCAAGCTCCCTACGTGACCCAAAATAAACGGAGCAGATAATTTTGTCTGTGTACTCATTTCTGTCATGCCAGTCTGACAAATTTTACCATGTTTCATGTTATCTTTTAAATTCCTATTTTAGCAACGCAATTGTATTACTTCCAGTAGATTACAATGCAATATATAGTGGTAGCTCTCTAAATACCTCCTCTAACTTTAGTGGAAAGCCACTTAGCACTAACATGGCTAGAGAGTAACTTTGTCTACTCTATGGCTCTACACCAGGGGTCGCCAACCTTTTGGACTTCAGGGACCACCAAACTCATAATTTTAGATCCCAGGGACCACTAACTGGTTCAGTGGGTGTGGCCTAATTTGTCGATGTGGCTTGGTGGTCATGTGACTGGCTGGGCATGACTTATATTTAAATATTATAAATATTTATATATATATTGAATTTTTTATAAAAAAAGGAGCAACTTTTATCCAAAATCAGGCAAAGCAGGCAGGCTAGAAAGCAAGAAATGCAACATTTCCTGCTTCCTAGCTAATCTAAATCTCCCAGCACAGCAAAACAAATGATGGTTGGAAAAAGGAAAAATAGCAATTTAGCAGGCAAGTTTGCCAGATAAGGAGTGGGTGGGGAAGGTTCCCATGGGCCATATGGGCGGCGCAGCCTTGTGTTTCTGTGCAGCCTGGATTAATTGCTTTGGTGTGGTGCTCTGGGGATGAGATTTCTCTGCCGCCCACCAAAATTATCTCATGGCTGTCCAACCTTGGCAATGTTAAGGCTTGTGGACTTCAATTAATTGAGGAATTCTGGGAGTTGAAGTTCACAGGTTAGCTACATTGTAAAAGGTGTGAACTCTGAAATGAATTTGTTGAATTTAACAGTGTGTAGATCTTATCTTCTGTCCCATTAGTCTGTTTCTATGAACTATAGTTAAGATAGGCCATAACTTGTACTTCAAATAACATAGGAAATTGTGATTAATAATCAAATGTAGATTTAAGAAATGTTTTCAAACTCTTCTTGCAGCAGTGATAGAAATATGTAGCCAATATAGGAAAATCGGCCAATGTCATATTCCTGATGACCTAAAAACACTCTTCTGATATTATTGATACTAATTATCAGTGCAATTAGTTTTATTTTTGCCTTAATATGACATACAAACCAATTTGGTTTGCTGAACAAGCTGTAAGATAATGCTGATTTAATGTTATGTTTGAATTTAGCAGTTTATACTTGTCAGTTTCATGGTGACTCTTGGTATTTTTTAAAACAGTGCTCACTATTTTGAAGATTTCTAAGTAAATGTGGGTACTTTCCACGTACTTCAATATCTTTTGAACAGCCACTTTATCCTATATTTTAAGCCACAAATAATTGAAAATAAGCCTCAAGTTTACCCTTATAAGGATTGAGTGATTGATTGTATGTTACTAAGTCAGTGTCAACTCTTTGGAACCACATAGATAGAATCTGTGCCCCGATCCATTTCATCTTCCAGGAGCACACCCCTGACTTCTATAACCAAGTCCGTTCATCTTGTTGGATGTTCACTTTTTCTCCTTCCTTCC